AAGCTTGCCTAAGCAGGCGCTTTAGACCACTGAGCTATCTCGCCAGCCCTATGTGACATTCTTGAAATGTCAAAACCCTAGAGACAGAAAACAGATTAGGGGTTGGAAAGCCAGGCAGGAGGAGGCAGACATCGCTGTAAGAGCCACAGACTGATTTTGGTGGCTATGGATGTTCTCTTGTCTTCGTGCCCTGGTTAGCAGACTTCACCATAACTCTGCAAGACGTCATCATTGGATCAAAGTCCATAAAAGGTATGAGACCCTATTCGAATGGCTTCCTACAATGAGTCTACAATAAATAAAAAATGATTTGACAGGTGACACCCATAAATACAACTGACTATATAGGGACAATTACCTTTATGATCCCCACTCGGTCTTCAAATGACTTGAAGGTGGCAGAGTTCCTTTAAAGAGAAAGGAGAAAGCTATAGGTATAAACAGCAATCTCAACGATGCCTTCTTCAACCTGAAGGGCTTCAGAACTAGCCTCTTGTCAGGAGCCCTGACAGCATCCTGAGCGCTTGCAGAAAAACTGTCATCTACCAGACAGGGCACAGGGTACCCCAAAAGGAACCCAGCCAGCATTCAGTGACTTCCCAGCTCAGAACTAACGCCTGTCAACTGAGGCAAGCCCAGATGTTACAGAGGCACTTCAAATCCTAAGTGCTTGGCACCTCTCTGCCACACTTTAAATAGATACCCTTGGGACCCAGGTATGGTGGCACATACCTATAATCCCAGCATTCCAGAGGCTGAGAAAGAAGAATCTCTAGTTACACATCACCATGACTTACAAAGCCCCTGTCTCACCCACCTACCCCAAAACCCCTGCCTCTTCTGCAGTAAGGCTGTGGGAAGTCCTGGAGTCTCTCATTCACATTTCTCATAGAAGTGGTTCTGGAGTAAGACAGCAGAGAAAAAAGTGGGCCATCCCCCACCTCATGGCCTCATACAACCAAACCTCCAAGACTCCCTTGATGCTCCAGGTGTGGTAGGAGATGCCTGTAATCCCAGCTCTTGGGCGGTTAAGGCAGAAAGATCAATACAAGTTCAAAACCTGTCTGGGTGGGGCCAGGCAGATGGCTCAATAGAATAAGCACTTCCTTGGCAAATGCAAGGGCCTGAGTTCAATGGACTCCCCTGATAAGAATGGTCTGTGCTTGGCCAGGCACGATGGTGGTGCATGACTTCTAGCAGTCCAGAGGCTAAAGTAGGAGGACTGCTGTGAGTTTAAGGCCAGCTTGGACTGCATAATGAGGTCCTGTCTCAAAAAAGAAAAAAGGGGCCAGGGAGATAGCTCAGTAGAATAAGAGCTTGCCTGGCAAAAGCAAGGGCCTGAGTTCAATTCCTGCTCCCACAAAAATAAATAAATAAATAAATAAGTAAATAAATAGGCTGCATTAAGCTATGCTATGCCTGACCAAGAGATGACGACCAGTACCATTCCGTGGCCTGTTAAGAACTAGGCCACACACAGGAAGTGTGCAGCAGGCAGGTGAAGCTTCATTTGTATTTATAGCTGTTCTCTGATCCCTGGTGCCAAAAGGGTTGGGTACTGCTACTCTAGAGGCATTAAGATAGGATCCTCCGTAAGCACCTCCCTGGTAAGTACAAAGTCCCAAGTTCAATCCCCAGTACCTCAAAAAAAAAAAAAAGAGCCTCAGTTCCCTAAGTTCTTCCTCAGCAGCCTAAAGGGGTCTTTTCTAGTCCTTAGCCAACAGGAAGCTGCCAGGAGGATGAAGTCTTACACTGGGGATACAAGAAACACAGGTATAACTGATGGACGCTACCCTGCCCCCACCCAGGGACAGCACAGCTCTTTTTTTCTTTTTGGTACTGAGAATTGAACTCTGGACCTTGTGCTAGCCAAGCAAGCACTGTGCCGCTGAGCTGTATTCCCGGCCCACAGCTCTGAAATAACAGAGGACAAGTGTACTTTACCTCATGGCTGGCATACTTATCGAGTGGCGAATGGAGTAGCTGCTGCTTGGAAGCATGGTAGAAGCAGAGAAGGAAGCAAGTTAGCACAGGGCACCAGACTGGCAGGCACTTGATCACAGGTCAACCACCTTTGCAGGATAGAAGAGGCACCCCATTCTGGCAGAACTGGAATGGGCCCACTATATAATGCCAGAAGGACAGCACCCTCCAGTACCTCTCTCAGACTCCCAAGGGTTGCCCAGGCCAGCTAGGGGAGTGATTCTGAGGCAGAATAGTAACACAGGGGGCTGGTGAGATGGCTCAGTGGTCTAAAGCACCTACTTAGAACAAGCTAAGCTAAGCAAAACACAGGGACCACGGTTCAATCCCCAG